CATTGATAATTTTTCATTTTAATTTATTTAATTATAATTTACAATGCTAGGAATTCGGGCGCTAATGATCTTCCATATTTAAAAAAGAAAATCCATAGATTTTCTTACAATATTCTCGGTAAAGTACGAAAAAAAAAAAAAAAGAAATGATCTGCCCCTGCGATTGACCGGAAGCGGTGTCAGAGCATACGAATTTCGTTCCGAATGGTTGCAGTTACTTATCTACACTTTCGGTTGGTCATCCGAGTGTGAAGTCCATACATCGATATTTCGACTTAACTGCTAATTATTACACAGTTTAAACCTTGTTTAGAAATGGCCGTTGCATTCGTCACTTTTGTAATTTGTCGGAAATTTTTTTTTCAAAAATATAATTATATATTTGTAACCTAATTCGTTGTATTACATGGTCTCGTATGTATGGATGTTGGTTAATGTGTGTGTTTTATGGGGGCACAATTTTTTTTATCTTTTTTGAAGCTTAATAATTCCTGTGCCTTTTGTCGAAAATTTCTGAAATTTTGCAGGGAGGTTCGTGTAATAGGTGGAAATGTTTCTAGAAATATTCAAGAAAATCGGACAATTGGTTCGAGAGATATGGCCCCACCTCCTTAATATCTCCCGAACCAATCTGAAAACTTAAAGGTAATGGTAGCAATTATTAGGAACGAAAACAAATAAAGAATGCCGAGAAAGTCCAGCAAGAACGTTACCAGCTTTTTTGAGGTAGATAATTACTTAAATTTCATATTATATACNTGCAGTTACTTATCTACACTTTCGGTTGGTCATCCGAGTGTGAAGTCCATACATCGATATTTCGACTTAACTGCTAATTATTACACAGTTTAAACCTTGTTTAGAAATGGCCGTTGCATTCGTCACTTTTGTAATTTGTCGGAAATTTTTTTTTCAAAATTTACATGTTCCACCCAAAAATATAATTATATATTTGTAACCTAATTCGTTGTATTACATGGTCTTATGCAGTGAATTTATTTCACGCTCTGTTTTTCATATTATTTGCAATTATGTAACTTATCTATATTAATGTAATTCGAGTAACTGAATCTTCAGCTACAGTAAATGTTATGTTTCTGGTTATTTTTTTTTTTCTTGTGAAGTATGTGTTTCTTATTTTACAACTGTTTATTCTGTATTAAAAATTCTTTTATTTTATTACAATATTTATAAATTTTAATCAGTCTGATTTATCTTATAACGTTTTCATTTAGTTATTTAATTTGGATTTCATTGTTTAGAAATGATGTGTATGTTTTATCAGTCCACACTGTGGAAAGGTTACATATATTAATCGCTTTTACGATTATAATTTATGGAATTATTTATTCTATTTTAGGGGGTAAGTACCCCGTGTTTGTCCCTCTGCGGAGCCCATGGTTATGGGCTGATAAACGGTATACATATTTTATCGGCCCATAATTCTGTAACGTGTTTTTTTGGGGGGGAAAAAACAATTAAATTTGCAATTTATACCTAATCGCTACTCTAAATTATAAAAAATTTTGTCATATTTAGAACAGGATTAAATATTGTCGAGTCTTCCAAATTTTATGATTTATAAATTTAGATTAAGTTATAAACTGGGGAGGAAAATATGATTATATATATACTCTTTTATTTTCTCTGATTAACATAACGATTTTATTTTCGGTGTCGTTAGTACATGGTAAAGTTTTGATACTGTGAACGTTGGGGGCAATACTTTTTTTCCTTTGAAATTAATTGCAGCGAAACTATTATAGGTGCATTAAGAATGCCGAGCACGATTCTTCCATCGAATCTCTCAAACAGTTTATGAAATATTAATTTAATTCGATGTCATCCCATAGACGCAAATTAATAAAAAGAAAAAGACAAAATGTAAAACACAATGCATAATTCCATATTAAATTAGACATCATTTAATGGGCATTAACCGCAACACGTAGTTATCCTCGTTAAAAATATCTTTTTCGGCAAGATCCTTAAATGTTACGTTGGATAAATCAATTAAAAATATTTAAGGTTGATTTTTCCAATGGTTTTTAATTGTGGCCAATTAAAATTTTAGATTTCTCAAATATAATTAATTAAATTTTTTTTCGTGCATTTTAATAATGATAAATGGGAAAATGTTACCGATGATAATCAAACAACCATCTCGAGCACCTGTCTTTACGATAATTAATCTTAAAAAATAACCGTAATTAATATTAAAAATGATTCGTATTCGAGTGTAACTGCAACACAGTACGAAACATTTATATAGAATGAGGCTAACACGAATATTTAATTGGCACAGGTTCGGATGGAAAGTCTTTTTTTTTTCTATTTCAAATTATTCTGGAGAAAGAAAAATATCTTATCATATCTCTTCGTAGTTTTTATTATAGAAAAGGAAATTTACTTCACTCGTTTTTATTGTATTTTATAATACAGGCATAAATTAATTTATACTTCATGTAGTGTATGTACAGTACATGTTTACAGAAGGTTGCTGTTTTTATTTTGAATCGTCACATACCTTCCTTCACAGCATTATATTCAAATCCGATTTAAAAATTCTTTTTAACTTACATAAATTATTGTAATTCAGTAATGTACTGTACTTCGTGTATATTACGTTAATCACAGATTTTTTATAGAGTAAAATGAAAGGAAACTCCTACAAAGCTATTTATCCGAGTGGAAATGAGATAAGATCGCTTCTTTAAAATATGAATAAAACGAATATAAAAATTACACTATTCATTGTCTTGAAAGTCGTATAAATCAGCGTTTTGGCCAGGACAATAAACAAAAGTCTGACTTTACTGATGACGAATTTTACTGCCATTGGTTTTATCCGTTACGAACCTTAATGCCCGCCATTAATTTTCACATTTTAGGAAATATTTTTAAAAATAAAATAAATAATGGATTTTTATTTTTATTCGTTCGACTTGAAGGAAACTTTTGTTTATTCGCCATCGCTGAATTAAACTGGAAAACATAAAGGGATATTCTTGCAGGAAATGGTAGGGATACAAATGAAGTTTTAATGCGATATCGGTAATGCACGGTACACGTTTATTAGAATATAAGTCGTTTAGAAACACGCAAGGATACACGTTTGTGAATAGGTTACACGAGACAGATACGGTCGTAACCAATCTAGTGGCGTACAGTACGTGTAATCAGTATTCAAGACGTGACGAATTCGTGTAGCTAATTTGTATAGTAACGTGTCGATAATGTTTGATTGTAAAAGGATTTTAGATGTAAAGGCATGCGTTTACAAATTTTTAATCGGCGCCATCGGTAATATCGTGTAAACTTCATGAATTACGATGTTACGAGGTAAAAATCGTTCGGCATGCCGGACACACGATCTGAACCTTAAATATTCGACGCATGACCGAACACGTCCACGAAACAGGAAAGAAGTTACGATCGGATTGGTTAAGCAACGTAACACGTCACGCAGTTTCGAGTTTTTCTTTCCGCGATGAAGATCTGAGACGATTCAATCGCGAATCTGTATGGAAATCCACTCAACCGAACATGACTGATGACATCTTCCTGTTTGCTACGTCCACCAAATGACCCACCTGTGCCATTAATGCAACTTTTATCCTCCATCTCCAAGGATACGTTCTGAGAATCTTAACCCATTGTTAACCATTATAATCGAATTCGATAAGATTCGTGCATTTTAACGGCGTGCATCCCTCACACCCTACTCCGATTTTAGTCGACTTTTGTCTTTATACAATTGGATAGATGACACTAATTGCATCAATCATTTATGCCAAATTCGTACGCGTTATTTATATGTAGCATAGAATTCATCTGATAAACAGAAATTACTCCAATTTAAGATTAGGTTACAGATTAGTTATATTAAGGGGAGCAACAACCCAGTCAATACACAATGATATATAAATGTAGTCAATTTAAAATTTGTTTTGTGAAACCGTCAGGTTGTTGCACTCATTGTTATTTGTTTGTCTTTGGAATAATTTATGTCGGTTACATATTGAAGATCTTCATAAACGAGTTCCATATTCTAAATTTAGGAAAGGCAACCAGAGAATGGCAAGATTAATCGGTTTTTCGGTGTAGAAAACAGGAAATCTTTTTATGCGCTGCTAAAACGAAGAAAAAAAATTAGCAATTTTATTCCGATTACAGTCATAATGTACGGAAATTGTAAGAATGCGTAATCGTAGGAACAATTTTTTGGGTGTATTTTGTGAGAGTTGGACACGCCGAGTGGAATGTACGGCCGGAAAGATGCTGATAGACAGTTTATATTCCGGTAATCACTACCGGAATGAAATGATTTAAGAAGAGAATTACTCTGCAGTAACATAATTCACTTCACCGGGCATTTGCTGTAGTCTTAAAATAACGACCCGTCGCAGGATATATTTTAATTACGTTCGCCTTCTGGCAACGGTGTAACTGGAAACGTCTTACATAATTCCGGGGGGAGAAATAATGTAATAATATCTAAACATGTTTGGGTGAAGTGGCTGCGAGATGAGAGAATGGTTTCGATCGTAGGATATCGCATTCTCATCCATATGCTCCCGTTAGGACGGGTCAGAAAATCCGCGAATTGTGTCAATATATTAAGCTACCTATACCCATTGTTAATCTGGATCGAAGGGAATTATCCTCCGTTAATGGCTACTTTTCGCCACCGATGCCGCATCTCGCTCTCTTTCTTATTCGAATTCACTCTCTAGACGTCGGTTAGTTATAATACGGTGAGAATTATTAAAATCCGAGTAAAGAAGTGGAAATAATGATGCGAGAAGGTTAAGGGGAAGTATTAATTTTTCAGAAAATGACGTGAAGAATTCGGGTTGGAAGATAAACGTTACGGAGATTCGTAACATCTTACTTCTTACTAATCGAATTGCCGTCTCGTTAAATTATTTATATTTTGATGGCTTAACGACAAGAGGAATAAGTGCATTCTTTGCTGATAATGTGTTTCTGTATTTCAGGTAAGCATGCATGCCGTCCCACCGTCCAGCCCTTTGGATCTCCGTCGCCAAGGAACGGGTAAGATAATCACGTGTACTGTTCCCACGCCCTTCCCTTTGCATGACGTGGTAGCCGGGAAAATATTCCCAGCTATCGAACCGTCCGAACTTTCTGCAAGGATGATGATAAATGTGTCTGTAGAAAAATAAACATATAAGTGATTGTTCGAAAAAAAAAAATCTCCAAAGCTAGAAAATTCGGAAGGTTCCTAATACTGTAATCAATGTATTAACTGCTATTACTCGCTTCGTGTTAAACATTTCGGATCGATACGCGCGGTTTACTTTTGTAATTTATAATTTATGCAAGATTTTTACATTAATTTATCGTTTCCGCGGACGAAATAATAAAGAATTTGGAGATTACGTACGTACGTAAATTAGTTTCTGGTATTTATTTACTCCTGTACTGGCAATTTATTATTATTATTATTATTATTATATTGCGGTTCGAGTAAAGAAGTTCGAGTGATAAGGAATGGTTTTTGTGTTTAGAAAGAAGTAATTGGACATCGATTTGGGCTCCTTGTCGGACTGGTCGCGGAAAAATGTCATAAGCTTAATTTACCTAGCTGGGAGGGAGAAGAGAGTCTGAAAATCAGATTGCGGTTGCTTTTTTAGGGGGACGGAAGCCGAAGCGGCGCGCGTTCCCATCGAGTCACGCCCCGAAGCTACTCGTAGAAATTTGATGATACCGAAGATACTGAAATCAGGCTCGGGGTCAAGTGAAAAGATTGTTTGTCATTCTAGCGAGATCCATCTCGCCACCGACTTCAGCAAGTCAGATGACAAGCCTCCGGTCAGATCATCGTTTCGATGTACCTTGATCCCTTGGGTGTTTGGATGTAAACACACGCATAGATGGAATCAAGGAAATGAAAAATGTTGAAAACCGGCATATAATGGAAAACTGTATTATTGAATAGGTTTCTCTCCGGTCTGTCAACACCGCCTTCTAGTCTAAGTTTACTCCGACCGACCGACCTCCGGATGACCACCCATTTAAATTCGCTTCTTCTTCCCGCCGCACGCTAAAAAATTAAAAAGTAATTTCTTCCGGAAGCTTTTTTTCCTTATCTACCTTATTCAATTATATAGATTTATAACTGTATTTTTTATTAAAATTCGTTCTTTGGCCCGGGTGGAAAAACCCGGCAAATATTTCGAGTTTATCTATCTACTCGGATAGCAACCCCTTTTAAAAAATAAAAAACAAAAAAAAAATAGTCGACGGGCCAAATTTTATTCTTTTTGGTGACTTTGCGTTACTCTCTTCATTTTATGTGGTGATTCGACGATAAAATTTATTTGGTCGATTTTCTACCGACAATTCTGTCCGTGTCACATCCTGGACATATAGAATTAGGCGAGGTGGATATAAACGAAATATCGGACGCCGCTACAGCATCTCGTACTTAGAAAAGCATCCCCCTCCTCCTCCTGGCGACGTGCCTGTCACAGCGACCTCCTTACGACACTAGTCTACCTTGCCTGCAGCGTGATCTCTCCTTTCAGCTTACCGTCAACTGTCAGAAAAGTCTGCCACCCGATTTACCTTACTCTGTAGACATCCTGGCCTCGGGTACCAACACCCCGAACTGCATTATGGGGGCCAATTTGTCGTTCTTCTCTGCCGTCTCCCAGACCCATATAATTACATCGTTAGTAAACTGTCTGCGTCCAACTGCCTTTTAATAACTCTAGGGACAGAAGGAGAACGGCTGCAAACCGATCATTTTATATTAATTGCGTATCCTTTCGGCATTGTCTCTATACCAGAGTTTAAAAAAAATGACGACAAAATAATAAATTATATATATATATATTGACGTAAGCGCGGACGACTTTTTAAACGAGGAAAGTAGCGACATTATCGGATACTATAAAAACGTCCCCATTGACCCGAGGTCGGTGGAAACGTCGTCGCGCGATTATTAAATTCTAGCAGGGTGGGGTTTTTTTATAGCCACCCTCTGAATCCAGAATAAATCCGACAGGCTGCCGAAGGATTAAGGACGAGGTTTTCCGAAATCTCGTAATAAACCATTACTCGATGTCTCGTATCCGACCGACCGAGAAGAGGAGGAAGGAAAAAAAAAATCGCGTAAGAATCTTCCATCGATTGGTCAAATCACCTACCATCTGTAATTAAAAGCATTTTTCGATTCGACCGGACGTTGTGGGGAGGGTGCCGAAATTGGCGCCCCGTCTGGCGCATCCGAATTTCATCCCTTTCGTCCTTCCACCCCGTATGACATTTGCATGCCGGTCACTGTATTGAAGTGTCCGTTCTTCACTTCTTATCGAAGAAGCGAGGCGTCCGAATTAAGCTTCCGGAGGCGCGAGTAAACAGAAAAGACTTTATTTCTCCAGTCGCCGGTCTAAAGAGAAATAAAGACTTAAATATAAAGCTAATTTTTATCTCATCTTCTAACCCATTAGTTAACAGACCGAACAGGATCATTACCGATGTCAATTTTCAGATAACATCTTTAAACAGTCGGTCGATTGTTACCGTTTGGACTCGTCCCCGGTCGCGTATTTTTAACGCTTTCCTACCTGTAACCTGTTTTCTAGACCGGAACTCTACTTGTCAGAGGTTGACAATTACCATCATCTATCAAAAACTACTGGCTGTGGTTGCGCCAGACAATGCGGTTATCGTCTTTTTGTCTCTTAATCGTCGCTTATCTCGTGCGTATCTTCGTTATTCCTATTTTGCTCTCTGCCCGGACCACAAGATGTTTTAATCTCGCCTCATTTAATTTATTTTTTTAAATTTATTCTTTTAAGTACCAAACACTTCTAGAAATTATTTTCGTCCTTAATTTTCTGATAATTATTAATAAAGTATCTGGTTGGACGCTTTATTAATAACTTCGATTAGTTATCAAAATATTTCTAAGGACAGATTCTTGGAAGCGGGTAAAAGAAATGGTGCACTTTAGTTCCTCAATTTCCACTTTATAGAATGAGTCGTTGGATATAAAAGAAAAGGAAGAACGTCTTTTCATTCTCTCCTCTCCTTCTGCCGGATTTAATTAAAAATCTCTCGAGTCTTTATTAATTTTTCTGTCACAAACTTTGGTTCGTCCATTGCCTTCTTTGGAAATTTTCGTTTCTCTCTCCTTCGAAAACGTTCTTTACTTAATACATTTGACGTCACAGCGTTTCTAGTTTGATAATGAGGTTTAGAGCGGCGGGGGCGCACAAATTTTCCATTGTGAAAGGAACGGCAGAGAAAAATAAAATAATAAAAGTGGGAGGGAAGACGGGAGAGAAAAAGATGGCGTTTTATTTATCGGTCGGTGGACAGTGGACGGCGGGAGAGAATAAAGCAAGATGGCCGACTTTAAGGTGACCAGATTTGCCGGGGGGAGAGCGAGAACTAACTGGATTCTATTGTATCGGGAGGGCCGGATCGATCGTCCGCTTTCAGGTGTAGTTGGGCGTCCTTGAAAAGGAACCCGCCACGCGCGCCTGCAGATTTTAGGATTTATTCGCCGGGTCCCGGATGTGTTTTGTGCATCGAAATGACATCCGGCGCCTGTCGCCATGGCAACTAAGTCCATTGGTCAAGGTCCCGGTACGCGGTCATTAAAGGAAGGGGAGGCGGGCGATTAACTCCCCGTCGGGCGCGCGGTGGTCGCCGGGCCGGCAGCCGGCCCGTTCCTTCCTCCGTAACCTTTTATTGCCGGCCCGAAACGTAATTTATAATGAGGCCGGTGCGCATCGCGCCGCCATTGGACGCGACGTCTCCGCCCACCTCCGCCACTTTAAAAACAAAGTGGCGGAGTAAAGGAGAGAAGAGGAGTGGGAGGAAGCGAAAGAAAGGGGAAAAAAGCCAGGCCGAGCCACGGGATTTGTCGTCCTCCTACCCACCCCGTTTGGCGTCTAGCCAACCAGGGGAGTGGCCGCTCGAACGCTGACTGGTGGAAATCTTTTAACCCCACCGTTGCGACTCGAGTCGACCGCCTGGATTTGCATGAACAATGTCGTCCGTTGCCATGGCCACCGGGCTTATTGATTGGCGGGAGTCGCCGGCGCTATCTCGCCTCCCTACCTTCCCGTCCGGTCACGTGACGGGCAGGATTTTCCTTAGAAGATAAGACCGCTTCTGGCCCGTCCCGCTCTTCGCAATTCCGATTTCTGGTCGCTCTGCCGGCCCCGAGGTCGGAATCGTCTGCAGCCACGTTGCTACTGAATAATCGCAGTCTCTGGCCTGACAGACTTCTCTCCTCTTTAAATTACGCTCGAATTTAATTACGTTTCTTCTCTCGATTTACTTAGACACCATACTCGATTTTTAAAGTAGGCTTTCCCTCTTGGCACCTCGATCGGACGGCGAAGCGCCATTTACGGCACGTTTGTAACGACTGGATTCGGTCACTGCCCGTAGCCGGGAGGGAAGGGACGGGGGAGTCGACCCGTTTCCGTACGAATGAGGTCTTCATCCCTTTCTGCTCTAGCGAAGCGTGTTCTCCAGGTGGAAGTTGTCCGGACCCGCATCCAGCTTTCCGTGCGATTAGTTCATCCCGGAGAAATATGATTGCACGTGGATCGCCTGGCATCCGAGCGTTTTTAATAAGCACCCGGGCGTGGGCCCGGTCGGACGGGAGCCGGGACAGCGGATTATTTTCTTTTCTGGCGATTAAGAAAGCGTCGAGTGCCGGGGGAGGGAAAAGAAGTTAGTTAGACGGGGAGACGATGCGGAAGAGGCTGGCTCGTTTGGTGTTTCTGTCGATAACCGAGACGGATCCTCTGTATGTGTGTGTGGAGGGCGTGCGTCGGATCGGCGACCGATTCTCTATCCCCTCCGATCGATACGCTATCGATGACTCATCGCCCCGTCCCTCTTTTAACTCGGCCATTTAGCATACCTTGCCGGCTTCTTCTCGTTAAAATCGTTTTTATAATGTCCGGCGGGATGTCTTCTTTCTCCTAGGCGGACGAAAATCGCCGGAAGATTATGATTTATTTCTAGATTACTTCTTTCATCGATTTTTTACCCTCCGGAGA